AAGAAGTTGAATCTTCTCGGGCTGGGAAGGTGGCTCAGTGGTAGAGTGCTTGCCTTGCATGCTCAAGGCCCTGGGTTCGATTCCTCAGCACCACATAAGCAAAAAGAAAAAAGCCGGAAGTGGTGCTGTGGCTCAAGTGGTAGAGCGCTAGCCTTGAGCTGAAGAGCTGAGGGACAGAGTTCAGGCCCCACGACCAGACCCCCCCCCCAAAAAAAAAAGAAGTTGAATCTTCTCACTGGTCTTCAGAAGGTCCATACTGCACCAACATTTTCCCTAGGATCACTCTTCAAGGCTTCTCGTATGTTTAGTAGTTAACTCCAGTGTTGTAGGTTTTTTGTTTTGTTTTGGTCAGTTGTGAGGCTTGAACTTAGAGCCTGGGCACTGTCCCTGAGCTCTTTTGCTCAAGGCTAGCACTCTACCACTTCGAGCCACAGCTCCACCTACTCTGCTCAGGCTGGCTTCAAACTGCAATCCTCAAATTTCAACCTCCTGAGTAGCTAGGATTACAGACTTGAGCTAGCAGCAGCACCCAGCCAGCCTTGTACATTTTAGCAGTAAAGAATAAATGAATCGCCGGGCGCTGGTGGCTCACACCTGTAATCTTAGCTACTCAGGAAGCTGAGATTTGAGGATCGAGGTTCAAAGCCAGCCCGGGTAGGAGAGACCGTGAGACTCCTATCTCCAATAAACCACCAGAAAACTGGAAGTGGCGCTGTAGCTCAAGTGGTAGAGCGCTCGCCTTGAGCTGAAGAGCTGAGGGACAGCGCCCAGGCCCAGAGTTCAAGCCCCACGACCGACAAAAAAAAAAAGAATAAATGAATCTTAAAGAACTTGTCAGCAGATTGTACCATACAGGCAAGAAGAATACTCTGCTTACAGTTTACAGCTCTTACGAAGCTCATATTTTTTAGCTTTGTTGTTGTTTTGTTTTTACGTAGTTGTACAAAGGGGTTACCATTCAATATGTCAGTTTATACCTAACACCCTTTAAACAACCTTCCCAGCTCTACCCTGCCCTCAGTGCACCTAGTTTCATACGATATGCACTGTATATTATTATAACTGCATTTGCACCCCTCTTCATCTTTCTAACTGCCCATGTAGCCCCCCCCAAGTCCTCACCACAGCACATCTTGAGTACTAACTTCCAGGTATTTGTTTAGTTGGACTGAGTTTTTCTAAGCAGGTAAACCATTTGACTTCTCCACTGCATATACCTTACTTTGGTTAATGCATTTATGATGTACACTTGCTTAAGACCTCTATCTGGCTGGGAATGTGACTTAGTAGTAGAGGGCTTACCTAGCATGCATGAAGTCCTGGGTTTGATTCCTTGGTACCACATAAACAAAAGGCCTGAAGTGGCACTGTGGCTTAAGTGGTAAAGTGCTAGTCTTGAATAAAAGAAGCTCAGGGACAGTGCTCAGACCCTGAGTTCAAGCCCCAGGACTGCCCCCCCCCAAAAAAAATCCATAAATTAGATCCACCTTCTACATGAGAGAAAACGTGAAAACGTAGAGCCTTTGACTCTCTAGGCCTGATTTCACCTAACATAAATTTTTCCAGGTCCATCAATTTCTTTGCAAGTGGTCAAATATTAGAGGAGTATGATTCATATATATGTTGGGTCTTCGTCTTTGGACGGACGGGGTCCGAGGAAAGGTAAGTGGGAAGTGCAGCCTCTTGCCCATTCCCCAGCCTCCCCTAGCCCAGGAGACAATCAGAAGCAACAACGCAGCGGGCAGTCAAACCAAGCAGGAACTCGTTTATTAACAAGGAGCATCCCCTTTTTAAAGCAGAAGACTTTGTGGGAGGGGAGGAAATGGAACCAACCAATCACTGAAAGGCCACACCTTATCATGCACCTAAGCTTCCATGAGTTGTTTACACACTGAACCTAATTGGCTCTGCCCACTCAACTTCCTCACAGGGCCATCTTTGCTACCTGTGTTCCCCACAATATATATGTAAGATACAAATTTAGATATGCTCAATAGATGAATCTATAGATATAAAGTTCATACCTCACATTTTCTTGATCCGTTTGTCCGTTGAGAGACATCTGGACGTTTCCCATACCTTGGCAATGGTGAACAGCGCTCATGCGGGTGGTTTCCACAGTCGCCTCTAGATGTCTCCATCATCCATGTGCTCTTAATCCTGCAATTTTTCAGCTAGTAGCCTCCAGTCCCTGAGAATGAAGTGTGAGGGATTTATTGAAGTACTTGAGACTTAACATTCGTGTATGGATTTTTTGTTCCTGTGTGAGGCTTATTCTGGTGAAAACAATGTCTTTAAGAAAAGGAATGTCTTGGAGTTGAATTGCTAAATCTAAACCAAAGATCTCAGAAATTACTACTACCTGTAAGTTGAGATAATTTTTTCCACAAGGTTTCTTTATATATGAACTTATTAGTGCCTTTTTTTCTTTTATCTTCATCTTTTTTAGGGGCTAGGTGGGCCAGCATGTGGTAAGCTAAGCAAGACCTCTCAACTGCTATTAGCTATTAGTAATTTTTATCAACATAAATTCATACCAGGACTAAAGCCATTCAATACTCTTAAATACACTATATATAAATAAAGACATATGAAAATCAGTTACTGAGATGAAGCATTTACTGAATCTTCATAGTATCACTAGGAAGGGGTTTTTGTGTGCATGCATGTATATGCCAGTACTGGGGGCTGAACTCCAGGCCTTGGGCCCTCACTTAGATATTTTGCTCACAGCTGGCACTCTACCATTTGAGACATACCTTCAGGGCCCACTTTTTCCTGGCTAACTAAAAATTAGGGTCTGTTAGATTTGTCTGCCTGGACTGGCTTTGAATCTTGATCCTCAGATCTCAACCTGAGTAGCTGGGATTATAGTATGAATAATGCCCAGCTGAAGGAACTTATGTTTGAGCAGGTAGGCAATACCTGACGCTATACAATGGCAGAACCCTTTAATGTTTTCAGATTTCAAATAAGTACTAATAGTGTGCTAGCTGTCACTATACCAAAATTTGATAGTTAATTTATAAAGGAAGTGGTTAATTGGGATTTACAGTGTTCGAGGCTGTTTACATCTTTGAAAGTTGCTTATAGTCCATGGTGTATATTCTCTCAGTGTGGGGGGATGTGGCTCATGATGGAACAAAACTGCTTACCATGATCAGAGGGAAAATAGGAGCAAGAGACTGGGTTCCTGCAATCCCCAAATCCTCCCAGTAGACCCCAGCTCTTAGAGGTTTCCACCACCCCCCAAGAAGCCAAGCTTCTGGTGTATTCAGGGATAACTACCTGTGAAAGATTCCACAAGTTTTGGCTGCGCTGATGCCCTATTTGTGGCTCCACAGAAAGCTTAGGTTCTGTTTTGATAGCACTGGTGGTGTAAGACACAATATAAACACATGCACTACTTTTCAATCTAAATCTCTTGCTGTACTAACAAAGGTGCCAATCTGGTTTCCCTAGCTGTTTGAAAGGAGGGACAAATTTGGTGGCTTACTGCAGGTGGAACAACCCTGAATAGAATGTGATCAAAGACACAGATAAATGTATTTACCCCCCCCACCCCCTTCTGTGAGGCCGGGATTCACCTCACCTCTGGACAGCCCACTTCAAAGCCACTAACCAGGACTAGCCACATTTCCAGCTAGGGCAGGATGCTCCAAGGAAAAGCACACTAAGCTCTCCTGAAATCTGCCTCCTTCTGTGCCCCAGTTAGGAAGAAAGCTGAAGAGAAAGTAGTGGCTCTTTGGAGTCCCAAGCAATTGAAATCTGCATTTTCATGCACTATAATTGTTGACAGGAGATGGTGTGATTTCCTTGTGATTCAGGGGGTTTCCAAAACCCCGATACTTCCACACTGGAGATCATCCCTTCCTGTAGGCGGATGGCATCAGTGTAAACCTGGTTTTCATTTTGCTGGTTTCATGGTTCTCTGCAGAAGAGCCAGAGCCACATGGCCATACAGGCTCTCTAGTGCTGGGAGCTTCTCGGGGCTTCTCCTGCAGCCAGCTGCTGTTGGCTCAGATGCTTTCACCAGCTTCCTTTATTGGGCTGGGAGGAAGTTGGCCTGCAAGGAGAAACAGTACAAATAGTTGTTCTCACAGAGGGCTACCATAGCTGCAGGTCCTAAGACCTGATGTCACCTTTGTGACCACAATCACCCCCAGAATAGATCGCGTCCTGGAAGTCTGTGGGCAAGGCCTGAAACGCCCCGAGCTGCTTGCGTCCCGGACACTAGGCCAGGTTTCAGTTCCCTAAGCGGGTCACAAGGAAGCGAGTTTGCAAGTTGTGCCTCACTAGCCCCACCCGGCCGGCCGGTCGTCGTGGCAACACCAATCCCGAATCTCCGGCCTCCCCGCCAGTCCCCAGCAGCGAGGGGTGGAGAGCCGGCCGGGCCGACCAGCCATGTTCGGCGTCCCGCTCCCGCGGCGCCCGCTCTGGCTCTGCCTCCACCTCCTGCTGCCGCTGCTGCTGCTCCCCGGGGCGCCTGGGCACCGCGGCGCCGAGGGGCCCTGGGATCGCGCAGACGAGCCCGGCCCGCCGTGGTCCTGGCCTGGCATCCAGCGGCTGAAGGAGCAGCTGAGGGCGGCCGGTGCCCTCTCCAGGCGGTACTGGACCGTCTTCAGCTGCCAGGTGTGGCCCGATCACTGCGAAGACAACGACGACGAGGCGACCTTGCACCCCCCGGGTAGGAGGCTGGCTTTTCGGATGCGCGGGGCCGGAAGGAGTTGGGGGCTCGGCGGGGCAGACGCCCATCACAGGCATGCAGCCTGGGCAGCGCAGCCTCTGCGGACCGGGAAGCCCCGTCCCCACTTCCACGTGCGCCCTGCGCCTCCCCAGACACACTCCTGCCCCTGCCCAGTCCGGGATCACCTGCCGCGTGGCCTCTCCCGCCTGCTTGGTGGCTTGGAGGAAAGTCCCGCGTAGACACAGCTGGCGCCGGCCCCCCAACACCTTCGGCTGTTTTGCTGCCGTTGGAGGCCGCGCTGGATGCTTTTCAGCCCCTTTTGATTCTAGTGCTGTCCCTGAAAACTTACGTGCAGTGGTTTGTTACATCCACCTCGTGGGTGGAAGAATCGCCTCTCCATCTCACAGCTCTTCCTTTTGCAGGCTGGAACCTTCCCCAGTGGGGCCAGTGGTCCCTGGACACGCTGACCGCGTGGTTCTGCAGCTTCCAGGACTGCTGTGAGGGCCAAAGAGATTGCAGGATCTCCAACAACTTTTCAGGTTAGACTGGCATGGCCACCAGGCCTGTGGGGAGAGAGGGCGGCTGTAAGGGGGTGCAAGAATCTTCTCTCATCTAGCTAATAACCTCCCCTCCAAGCAGGAACTGGAAAGGTCAACTGAAGTCTGTAGGTATTTGAGAACCTTAGGGCAAGATACTAAGCTGATGGACTTCCAACAATAGGAAAAACACCAACCTTTGTTGATCATGGAGCTTGAACTCAGGGCCTGGGTGCTGTCCCTGAGCTCTTTTGTTCAAAACTAGCACTCTGTCCCACTTTGAGCCACAGTGCTACTTCCAGTTTCCTGGTGGTTAATTGGAGATGAGAGTTTCATAGTGAGTTTTCAGCCCAGGCTGGCTTTGAACCACAGTCCTCAAATCTCAGCCTCCTGAGTAAGCTAGGTTTACAGGCATGAGCCACCAGTGCCTGGCTGTAACACCAACTTTAATGGTGCCATTAATGGGTTTTTGCATTCTCTTGTGTAAGAACTGAGGTCAAAGCACTTCCATCCTAAGCGGGGACTGTTTTTTAGGTTGAGGATGGAATCCCAGCTACAAAGCTACACGCAAACCCTCCATCCTGTTGTTGGAAATAAAACTAAGATACTCACATCACAGCACAGAAACCTAGTATCTTGATTTACTTATTTTTAACAGTGCAGGAGACCCATTTACCTTTAGTTTAAGGTTTAGTTTAAGGTTGGAGTCCATGGAAATACCATGAACATGTCACACCCAGCTAAGACAGCTTTTGAGGAAGGGACACTGCCAAATGTAGGACAAGCCCAGACCCCCGATTGTCATTGTCCATCCTGTCTACACTGGAAGTTTTCTCTGCTCACCTCTCACTTCTTACTTACCACACCCTCCTGCCAGCCCTGGCAGCAGGTCTAAGGAAGCAGAACAACAAATCCATTGAATCCCTACAATCTTCCAGTCCCTGTGCTGAAGATTTTACAAGGATGAAGTCATAATCCAACAAATCTACATGAACTTTCAAGAACCAAGCCCAGAGTACCTGTCTCTATAAACAGGAATAGAAACCTCTGAAGGATGGTTGACAGTATTAAGAGAACTGATCAAAAATTGTAGGTTGATTTTTTTTTTTAGTGCTCCTAGCTTCTAGTGGAATGTGGCGCTACACCTCTATAATTCTAGCTCTCGGGAGGCTCAGGCAGGAATAGTGTAAGTCTAATGCCCAGGTTCAGCTAGATGGCAGCTTCCTGCCTCAAAAAAAAAAAACAAAAACAAAGAGTAAAGTATCCCTTTCAGACTGATAGCCAACAAATGTCTCCAGCATGTAAAGTGCATTTCGTGGTTCAGTGAGGATACCTCGGTGGCTTTATGCCTGAGAAAAATAAGAGATTCTTTTCTTTGTTTTAAATAACATTTCTGGGGTTTGAACTCAGGGCATTTGACTTGCTAGGTGGGTTCTCTACCACTTGAGCCATTACTGGGCCTTTTGTTGTTTTTCAAATAGAATCTTGCTTTCTGCCCAGGCTAGCCTAGACTATCCTCCTCCTGCTTGGGCTGACTGGCATTTAGGGTGACAAATCTGTACCACCAGTCTCAGCATTTTGTTAGTAGAGATGTGATCTCTCAAACCTTTTTGCCTAGGCTAGCTTCCAACCTCCATCCTCCTGACCTCAGTCTCTTGATTATATCCAGCACAAAGATTTTTTTTTCAATAAACTAATTCATACTAACCATCACATAATTTACAAATTGCCCCTCTCTCGTCATGACTAAGCCACCTCCCTCAGGTGGCTTTACCTGCATATTGCTGATGATTTGTATTTGAACTCCCAGAGAGTGGTATTTAGCCCAGAACTTTGGCTGATACATATACCTAAGTCCTTTGTGACTCTTTCCTGTTTGTCCAGGAGTTATTTCTTGCTCAGAGTTCTCTTGTCATTCTATAAATGACGTCCACATAGATATTAGGTCTCTTAATTAGAAAAAGTGCCAGTGTCACTAAGTATAAGGACAAGGTCTGACACAGGACAGAATCTTGGCCTACACACAGATCAGGAAGTGTGATCTGGGATTTCTGCTGGATGAGAATAAGACCCCAAGTACACAGTCAGCAAGTTGCCTTCTTCCCCTTAACCTAACTATTGCGCCAGGGACTGGATATCAGAATTGTGGTGGTTGGGAAACCATAGGCAACTCCATGAAACTCCCAGCTCATCTCTTTCCAGAAGACAAACTTTAGAAAGTCCTTTCCTGTCTGCCTTACAGAATTGTTGTGGAAATGAAATACGACACACATGATTGAGTGTGGGGGAAGGCAGCTCTATTCATTTTCCCTTCTGTGGTGCTGGGGTTGGGAACTGTGATGCTTGCAGTTTCATTCCAAGCTCCATACCATCCCCTCTGGGCTGGCACAGTATACCAAATGGATTGATCTGGAACTCCGAATAGTAATTGCCACACCTCAGTCAGCAGCACAACCTCCTGGCTTCCAAATCCTATAACCTGGATTTCAGGAAGGCAGCCTGGTATGGGTTCACCATACCTGTACCAAATTGAAATAGGATGAAATCCTGGCTTCTTGACATTTTTTTTTGTTGCTTTTGGTTTTTGTTTTTTTGGTTAGTTATTGACATATTTAAGGAGACTTGAAACTACGGAATGGAAGCATCTCAGAATGTGAGCAAGATCCGCTCCACAATGGTCCCTGTCACCCATTCTGGGGTGTCTTTCGAATGAGTCATTTGCTCTTACCCTGAGTTCAATCTTGATTTCACAATGTTCAGAAAATAACTCTCTTCCTTGCTTTCAGGAGGTGTGCCTTCTAGCTTTTTGTCCTGAAGCTACACGGGATGAAGAGTAACTGATTGCACTCAGCGATGGGTGGGGATGGCAGGGGAACCTGCTATCTGCCGCTCATGTGCCTCTTTCTGCCCGCAGGCTTGGAATCCGACCTGACAGTGCGACTGCATGGCCAGCATTTGGCCAGAGAGCTGGTGCTGAGAGCGGTCAGGAGCTACTTAGAGATGCCCCAACCAGACAAGGCGCTGGTTCTGTCATTCCATGGCTGGTCTGGCACAGGCAAGAACTTCATGGCAAGGATGCTGGCAGAGAACCTGTATCGGGATGGGCTGAGGAGCGATTGTGTCAAGATGTTTATTGCCACCTTCCACTTTCCACACTCCAAGTATGTGGACCTGTACAAGGTGAGGCTGGGCACTGCGGGGAACAAGACCAGCTGGAGCTGGGGCCAAAAGGGAAACCCTGGTGCCAGCCTATGCTTGCGAGGGGGGGCTCTGGAGAGGCTATGGGGAGAGGAGGCTGTTGTGGGAGAGGCTGTAATGGAGACTCCCTACTTGGTCACTGCATACAGAGGAGACCCTGAGCAGCCCAGAAAGAACCAATGCTCCAGCAACCCCCTTGAGCTGCTCCACAACAGCCACACCAGAGGCCAGACAGCTTTGATAAAGTTACAGAATTAGTGAGATAAACTGGTGCCCGTGGCTCATGCCTAGCTACTCAGGAAGCTGAGATCTGAGGATCAAGGTTCCAAGCCAGCCCATCAGAAAAGTCCAAGAGACTTTTACCTCCAATTAACCAGCAAAAGGCCACAAGTAGAACTGTGAATCAAATGATATCCTTTAGTGGAAAAAGTGCAAGACTATGAGTAGTGCGATGGTCACAAAATTGTGAAATAGAACAAAGTAAGAGCTTCACTCCTGCACTGGCTGCAGGTGGCTCACACCTATAATCCTAGCTACTCAGGAGGCAGAGAGCTGAGAATCGTGGTTCAAAGCCAATCCAGGCAATAAAGTCCAGGAGACTCCTATCTCTAATTAGTCACCCAAATAGCCAGAACTGGAGCTGTGGCTCAAGTGGCAGAGTGCTAAACTTGAGCAAAAAAGCTTAGAGACAATGCCCAAGCCCTGAGTTCAAGCCACAAGACCAGCAAAAAAAACAACAAAAAACAAACAACTTTCCTTTCTTGTCATTTTGTTAGAAATTTTCATGGCTTGCTTTTGCTATTTCTTTGTTATTATAAAGATGATGGACAGAGGGGTTACATAAGTTGGTACATTTCTTTTTTGTTTTTTTGTTTTTTTGATTCGGTCGTGGGGCCTGAACTCTGGGCCTGGGCGCTGTCCCTCAGCTCTTCAGCTTAAGGCTAGTGCTCTACCACTTGAGCCACAGTACCACTTTCAGCTTTTTCCTTTTTGCTTATGTGATGCTGAGGAATCAAACCCAGGGCCTCAGGCATGCAAGGCAAGCGCTCTACCACTGAGCCATCTTCCCAGCCCAAGTTGGTACATTTCTTTTGGGATGATATCACCCCTTCCTTGCTCTCCTCATTTGTTTTTGTTTTAATATGGGGATGGAGGCCAGAGCCTCTAGAATGGTGGACAAGCACTCTATTTGGGCTCTCTCTCTCTCTCTCTCTCTTTCTCCCCCCTCCCCCTTTCATCTCTCCTCTTCTCTCCTCTCTCCCCTGTAACTTCCAGAGTGGTTTATTAGACGATGGACAGGAAGTTCCTCTGTTGGTCCACAATTTGGGGTCTCCTCCCACTCAGGGACTGTGGCTGCCTCTGGCCCTTGCCATTTTCCCTCCGACTTCATTCCTACAGCAGAGACTGACTCCTGGTTTTGGGGGAGAGTGAGCTGGCCTTTACTTCCAGCATAGGACCTAATCCTGGAGAGGATACAGTGGGGCGGGAGCTGGGCCTGCTCCCAAGTGGGTGGGAGGGCTTCTCTCTAACTTCCAGGCTCTTACCCTCTACTCAACCCAGGCTGCCCCCCCCCGAGGTGCACGAGAGTCACCTGGGAAGCTTGTTAGCAATGAGCCCACTCAAAGGCTTGATTGGATAGATTTGGGGGCGGAGCTCAGCCCCAGGTGACCCACCGTGCAGGGTGACTTCAGT